TGGTGTTGAAGACGTTTTTACGCAACAATTCAATGTGCCAGGAGCAGCAGCCCCAGAGCGCTGGGAGAGCATCATGCAGAATGCTGTCCCCCCGCTCCTGTGAGAGGGCAGAGCAGGGCTGCACCCCACATCACTGTGCCACCTTGCACACACTCCCTGGACCTTCCGGATGAGGCAAGCACCACCTCCAGGCAGAGGAAGGATCGCCAGTTCACCTCCTCTCCCCACAAGTGGGGAGACAGAGACCCAAAGAGGGCGGGAGACCTCCCCAGGGTCGCACAGCCGGTCAGAAGCAAAGCTAGGGTGCTACTTGGCCAGCCACTCCTCCCAGAGCAACAGGAGAATGGGCAGTGCCAATGGAATGTGGCCCTGGGTCCGACAGGGACAAAGCTGGGACGCCAGGGCTGGGGGGCTGCCGAGGACCGAGGGAAGCTGCAGGAGTAGGGTAGGAAGGCTCAAGGCTGGGGCCGCCAGGCACAGCGTGGCCAGTGGTCAGGAGTGGGCAAGAGTGGCCAGGAGAAACCAGTGGTGGCAAGTTCCCCACAGTAAACAAACCCCTGCCACAGGGAACCAGAGGGATGAATGCCTGAAACCAAAGGTGGACAGAACATCCCAGAAAGCTACCCACAACAGGCTACTGTTCATTTAAAGCCCAAAAAGAGGAGCATTGAACAATTGCTTGATTAGGCATGTATACTTACATGGTCAAAATCTTTTCTTTTAAGCAAAGGAATGATAAACACAAAATTCAGGATATTAGATACCTCTAAGGGGTCTTCAGGGCATAGGCAGGTGCACAGAGCTAGATGTAAATTACTGGAAATGTTCCACGTCTTTGGTTGAGTGACAGGCTCATGGGTATTTATTATTTGTTATTTCACTCAACTTTATAATTTACCTCTGTAATAATTAACACTTACATGGAGCTGACTCCGTGCCAGGCCCTTTCATAAGCGCATTACATACATGAGCCCTTTAATCCTCACCACAGCTCCATGAGGCAGGGCCCCATTTACAGATGAGGAAACTGAGGCACCATTAGTCGGAGATCACACAGCTGATACGAGACCCCGGATTCCACCCGCCGCAGTCTGAGTCCAGAGCCCATGGTCTAAACCTCTCTGCCAAGCTACATGTGTTATTGTATAAGTGTGTTATTTATTAAGGTAATAGAAAATTTAAAGTGTACTGGGAGAGGTGGGAAAGGAGGCTGCCACTGTGTTCCAGGTGACATGCAGATGTCCCAACCAGCTGGCCCCTTCCCCAGGTAAAATCCCTCCCCTCCTCCCCTCCACCTACCCAGTTGCCCACCCCTGTCTTCTCTGGGCACCTAGCACTGATGATCCTGTGCTTCCATTTGCATAGTGGGGTGGCCTGTAGTCAGATAGCTGGCCCAAGCCTGGAAGACCCATGGAGGAGGCGGCCCTGGGCTCCTCTGGGAGCACCTGGGGGCTGGGCCGGAGCTCCCGCTCCTTCAGGCCTCCCTCAGAGTTGCTGAGCCTGGGGCTGGCACAGGGGTGCTGGTGCTCAGTTCTGATCTGAGCAGGGCCTGCCCCTGGTGGGAAGGGATGGTGAGTGCAAGGGGGGGCTGGATGTCCCCTGAGGCCAACTCCTGGCCTCTCCCTGCAGCTCGATCCTCACCCTCCCCACCCGAACCATCTCGGCCCCACCCAGCCCCCTTATTTATAAACCATATGTCCTTGTGTCCCTGCCCGCCTGGACTGTTTGTCCAAAGCTTCAGCTGCTTCCCCTGATAACCCAAGGACCAGAGGTCCCAGGGAACTGGGAGGCGCCCAGAGCCAAGCAGAGTTCAAGGATGCTCTGCGGGGTCCCTCTCCTTACTCAGGAGCCGTCAGGGGCTCCCCATGGCCATCGCGGGGCCTGATGCATAGAATTTGCTCAAGAATCAGTAGTTGTTCCCATTTAAATGTTTAATTTCTGTTGTTGCCCCCAGGAGCAATTCCAGACTACTTGGCCAAGCCCCTCAAAGACAACTGAGGAAATTTAGGCCCAGAGAGAGGAAATGATTTGCCGTCATTCACACAGCAAGGCATTCTGAAGTTCTATTTCACCTCACTGCCTTTCTACCCACCCCAATGGAAAAAGGAATAGAACTCAGTCCCAGATCATGGCTCTGAATCCTAGCTCTGCCCTTCCTCGCTGTGCAACTTTGAATTGGTTGTCTAATCTCTCTGATTTATAGTTTCTTTGTCTATAAAACATAAGCATTGTCTGTTTTGTTCAATACCCACTGCCCAGGATAGTGCTTGACACATAGGAGGAGCTGAATAAATGTTTCTCTGATGAATGAACCAGTGACTCCCTAACTCTCAGCTCGTTTATGAGTATCAAGCGAAGTGATATACATGAGGTTCCTGATCCGTGCTAAACGTGTGGCAGGACATTGCAAATGGGGATCCCCTTGTCCCTTCACTGACCACTCTGAGGGCTCCAGCCTCCCTTTTGACCCCAGCCCGGGAGCCCCAATCTCCAAAGCCCAGATACACCCTGAAATTCCCAGGCACCAAGAGCCTGGAGCCTAATGAATCTGTTCGGAGCGCGCAGGCCAGCCTCCTCCCCTGCAGCTCCTCCAGCCGTGCTCCCTACTTCTCTGCCTGCCCCATGGCCCCTCCACATGGTGCCTGGGGAAACAGCACCCCTGGCCACCCCTTGGGGTCCAGCCTGCAAGCCCTGGGTGCCCTGGACCCCACTCCCCTCTCTTCTCTTTCACCAGTGAGTGTTCCCTCACCCCTGTCATCGGTGGAGGTGGACAGGCGGGCGGGGGGAGGGCGGTGATCAGAGCAAGGTGTCAAGTGAGCCTGTGCCCAGGGCAGTTCTGGGGCGGTGAAGGCCTTTGCAGAGATGGGTTAGGGCTGCCCCACAGGGACAGGGAAAGGCTGAGAAAAGAAATGGCCTCAGTGAAATGCAACCCGAGATGAGGGCCCGAGCAAGCTAGGGGCAGCAGACCGGGCTCGAGTCCCAGCGCACAGGGAGCCCCCAGGTGATTTAGGGCAGGTCCCTTCTCTCTGGCCTCCATTTTCCCAGCTCTTTGATTGGGGAGCGTGGGGGAGGCGTGGGGTTTTTGACCGATTCCCTGTCACCTCCACTCTTCTCTGGCTTCCTAGCATCATCACACCCAGGTCCCCACAGTCCCCACATGTAGACACAGCTGTCCCAGGACACCGAAGCAAACAGGCAGCTTCTACTCCCAGCCTGGCCTGCTAAGGAGCCCCACGCACCCCCATCTGACAACCTCCTCCACCCACTAAGCCCCAGCACCCGCCCTGCAGGGCCCACAAGGGATTAGCAGCCCACAGGAGGAGGGAAGGAGAGATGTGGGCATGCAGGCAGGGCTCTGGAAACAGGCCCCCCTGGGAGTGCTAAGCCCTGGGAAGGGGCCTCGCTGGCTTCCCTGAGAGTTGGGCTGAGGCACCCGGATGGTGATTCCACCTGGATGAGCCCCAGGGTGTGTGGTATGAGGGCCAGGCCTGTGAGTGTTGCCATAGACCTCCTCCTCCCGTGGGCAGGGGGCTGCGACCAGGCAGAGATGGGGGAATGAGGGCGCCAGGGGCCTGGCCTCAGTGAGAGCCTGCAGGGACCCACTGCAGGCCTTCCTCCCAGCACTGTGCTAGGGAAACTAAGTCAGGGGAGGGGTCCCAGCGTCCCACAGCACAGCAGGCAAGTGGGGAGGACAGACAGCAGGTGCAGCAGCTTCCCCATGTCCAGGGCAGGCCTGTACCTTCCAGCGGGAGACAGACTCAATCCTGGCCGCAGAGGATGTCGGATCTCCCCAACCATCCTGGAGCTTCCGAGGAGAGGCCCAAGGCCTCAATCCCTGTGTGTGTCCCCCACAGCAAAGCTGAGCAAGCTCAGAGCCCAGGGGGCCTTAGGACAGAGCTGCAGAGATGTGAGCTGAAGTGTGAATGATAAACCCCCAAGGCCAGCACACGGGGAGAAGCTTCCAGGCTTGAGTTTTGAAAGGCTTTTGAGCAAAATCCTAGACCTGGGAGGGCCTTTCCAGTCTCTCAAATTCAATCCCCATTGTCTGGATGGTGAAACTGAGGCATGGAGAGGAGAAGGGACTGGTCCAAGGTGCCACAATAAGTCAGTGGCAGAGACAGGCCTAGAACTCTGGGCCCCAACTCCCAGCCCAGGGCTCATTCCCCTTCCACGGGCTGCCGCCCTGCTCCAGTGTCAAGGGAGCCCTGGTGTGGGGGCCCGTCCTGGCCTCCCTGGATTGGCCTGTTTCCAGAGGCCCTGGGTGAGATGCGGCTCAGCTCGGGCTCACCCCCAGCCTGCACCACCTTTGCCCACAGCTCCAGGAGCTTGGCATGGACACCGGCCCCAGCTGGTTCCAGCACAATGGAAGGCCAGTCAATGATTCATGAAGCTCCTTTCCTGGAGGCCTTCTCCGAGTGTACCCGGGCACCTGCGCTGGCTCCTGCACAAGCCCCCCAGGGTGGCAGGACAGGGATTAATCACTGATGGGCCCAGAGGAAGAGTCACTCCAAGGAGGAAGGTCCTCTTCACCATCACCCAGATGGCACACAGCTCCCCCCCCAACCCCCAGCCCTCTCCTTCTCTCTCTCCCTCCCACTCTCCCTCTCTCTCTTTTTGTGTCTCTTTGCGATCTTCCTGTCCCTCTTGATCACTGGCTACTTCTATCCCTCACCAGGTCTCTCCCTCTGTCTCTCCCTCACACACATACGCACACCCCCCGACCTGCCTCCCCTTCCCCCCACCCCCCTAGCCCCCTCCCTCCGAGCTCAGAGCTTCTCTCTCCTCCCTCTTCCCTTACACCTGCCCTCAGGAGAGGTTTTGATAAACTAAGCCACCTGAGGTTTAAAGAGGGACGCTCTGAAAGCTGAGGGGTCCTCAGAGATAATGCCCAGACCAACATTTACAATACGTGTTCCATAGAAAACCGATTCACTGAAATTATGTTAAGAGTTACTTCTAAAAGAAAGTTTTTTGGCCAAATAAGTTTGGTGAACCCCTACCTAAAAAAGTGAGTGTTTTTTATTGCAGAGCTTGTCAGAGCCTCTACTATGGTTGAGTGTCCCAGAGGGTGATGTGGTTTCTGAACTTACCTCATCACCTGGGAAAATGAGTCGACAGCTCGAGGAGCTGGGGCTGTCACTCTGTGAGGACCACAGAGGGCAGGTGACCCACCGAAGCCCACCCCGCTGAGGATGGCGCCTGTTGGTAGAATCCCCATGGCTGCTGAGCTCTTGTTTTAAACCTAACTCTCTAGGATTTCCCCTCCAGAAAATCTCAAGGGCGGCTTGGGCTGGCTTCACACTCAGGGAGAAGGAAGGAAACAGAGAGCGAGGAGTCCTCAGGATTCTCTGGAACGGAAGCTTCGGGCCCCAGGGAGGCATTCCTGGGCTTGGTGTCTCTAGGCCCCACATTCCTGGCGGCAGATGCAGCTGCTCCTCCCAGCCTGGGTGCCAGCAGTGGAAATTCTTGGAATTCGTGTCGGATGGAAGGTGCCACTGGCCCCTCAGTCACAATCCAGGCGCATCAGCCACTCCTGGAACTTCATGAACAGTTTAACAGAGTCACACCCTCCTTTGGGCCCAGCAAGACTCTCACAGGTGTGGAGCAGAAACACCTCTTCAAGTCTGGCGAGGAGGAAGGGGGTTAACCTGCGGCAGGGACAAAAAGACCCAGAAATACGGGTGAATTCACAGAACACTGGAACAGGTATTCACAGATGCTCATTGCAGAGTTGTAGGTGCATGCTGGGCAGCTGGCACATGCCAGGTGGCGGTTGAGATTAAGGGGCCACATGCCCTGTGACTACGGGAGAGACTGCCTCCAAAACCAGCTTGAGTCAGTGACTTGACCTAGATACAAAACTAACTCCCTCCTCACTGCACCTTCTGGAAGGTGGAACTCACCTCCTGGTCTCTGACTTCACAAGGACTGTCGGCCGAAGAAGCTTGACACGTGAAAAGAGAGCTTGCCAGCATTCTTATCAAACGTATAATTTATTATGCATTTTTCTTCAGAAAAAAATTCTCACTGACGGAAAAAAATACACTCCCACCTCATGTGTCATCCGTCCAAGCAAGGAGACCTGATTCGGTGAGGGTGAAGCAGGGAGCCTGACCTCCAACTGACTCCCAGGAACTTGCTTTTTCCCAGCAGGCAGACCCCCGTGGACAGCCTGGAGCTCAGCAAATGGCTGTCCACTCTGTGGGTCTGGGTAAAGTGCTCTGCTATTGTTCAAAGACTCAGGCTCGATGTAAGGGAGGTCTCCTGGGAGTTCAGACAAAAAACAGTTGTGAGTCGGCCACGTCATCCACTGTGAGGCAGTAGCCTGCACAATCTAGAATATTCTGTTGTAGGTTCTATGGTCAACTCAGACATCACTGATTCCCACTTTACGAGTTTGACGTCACTCTTACACATACACACATACACACACACCAAAGTGATCGTCAACATATATTAACACCCTGCATGACATGGGCGCGACCCTCAGCCGTCGACTTTAAACTTAGATGATTAAAATTCATTTTATTGGTTTGTATAGGTTTAGTTTGTTTGGGTTTTCTATTTGAGTTCCTTAAAGGCATAAGTTATGTGTATCTATTTAAGTTGCACTGTGAAAAATACAAGCTAGGTTTAAAAAATAAATAAAGCTTATGTTAAATAAGGTACCAGGGATCTATTGGCCATTTCCAGAATGTTCGAGACTGCTGTGAATGGTGGGCGCCCATCCTTGAGAACTTTTTCATCTTCGTTAATTTTGGGGGGTTTGCTTTTCTTAGATTGGACTCATCTGTTCAATTCATTGAGAGTCTCTCTCTCTCCCTCCCTCCCTCCCTTTCACGTTTCTCCCCAAAGACCATACTTTTCTCCCTCCAAAGTATAGATTTACGTGCTTACTTAAGAGCTTGTAGAAAAAACAATGCCAACTCTGCCTTAATGAACACAAGGCAGGCCAGCCTTCTCAAACTAGTATTCCACATGGGGGGCAGGCTGGCTTTAGACAAACCAAGGATGGCATCTTGTGGTGGCATCCCTTAGTAACAACATGACTATGGGCAGAGTGCATTTCTCCAGCCTGTGACTATGTGGCAGGCATCCGTCATGGCCTGGGCTGCAAGAGCTGGCAAAGCACTGGGTCTTTTAGGTACACAAAGCTGTGCCATGGCTCTCCCGTGAGGTTCTTAGGACAGATCAGAGGATGACTGCAGACAGAGTATTACAGGGCTGAGTTCTCCCCCAGCACACACACACACGCACACGCACACACACACATTTTTTCTAACTTGAACTTTACTGCACGGACGTCTCTCTTACATATGTGAGTTGAATGCTTTCTTTCCCACCCAGAGGTGACGTGCAAACTACATAACAGCCGCATGTGGCAAGGGCACCAGTCCACCACAGCTTCCCACAACTGTAGTGCTGGACAGGGTCCTGGAGGGCCCTGATGATGACAGGCTTAACCCTTAAGAGCTGGGCTGTGGCAAGGCCACACGCCGGCCTCTTCTGGGGAGACTAGGGAAGGACAAGAGTAGCCAGCGTGGCCAGATGGGGGTTGGTGTATGAGAGGAGCTCCAAACAGGTGGAAGTATTGTAATTTTTAAGAACCGGTGAGGCCGTACTGACCCATATGGCTGAAGATCCAGCTGTGCCCTCACTTCGTTCCCCATCAATACTCTGGAAAGAACAGAAAAATAAGCAAAATCCTATATGCAGAGAATGTGGTTTTATTGGAGTGAGGCAGAGTCACCTGAGCAGAATGAGCTCATTAAAATTTCTGGGTACCCTTCACCAGCGGCCACTCTGCGCACCAGGCCCAAGGTGATGGTAGGGACAGTCTCTTGAGGGCTGGATACAATGGCCCTGTAGGCAAAGGCCTCACCTGCCTTCACGACCTCCAGAATTGCCCCCTTTTCATCACTAGGACAGTAAACATCACCACCTATGGGTCTGTGGCCCCCAAGAATGGCCCTGCCCTGGCCCCCAGCTCCTAGCAAATTCCACTCATCGCCCTCATTGTATTCTAAACCTAAAGAAAACAAGGCGTCATGCCCAGCAGCTGATCCATAAAACATTAATCACTATCACCCTCCTTGAGAGGCTCCTGAGCAGTGAAGGTGTGACCTCCAGGAGCGATGGAAAAATCCTAGTGGGTCAGCACATGGCCGGGCCAAGCCAAGGGGGGGCCCTGGCACCAGTCCCTCCAGTGCTTTTCCAGACCGGCTCCAGGCTTTGGTTCCAAGGATACCGAGGACCAGCCTGGGAACCCTAAAAGGGAGAGAATACTCCCTGCATCTAACAAATCTCCAAAAGGTGCCGTGGTCCTTGGGGCCAAGTGGCAAATGGCTGCCTTGAGCGACCCACATTCTTTCATTTGGGCCATCTTTGAGCCCACATGAGCTTTTGAGATGGATAATGATGCTGGGATCAGGGCCAGAGTTACAAACCGCTAGCCCCAATGAGGCTTCATGGCATCTACGTCAGGCAGCTGACTGATCGCAGTCCCGGATAGCTTCAAAGATCAACTCTTCTCCCGTAGACATCTGAGGACCTCTCCAAGGCCTGGAGAGAGGAATCTCCTTGATCCGGGAGAAGAAAGGGAAATTTCAAAGGAGAACTATGGGACTACAAGGATCCCAGATTCTTGGATGTTTAGAAAACCGGGACTTTTTGCCCCAATGGTTGAGGTCATATATGTATGGCTAAAAGGCAACCTCAAGTTGATCTGAACTTTCATCACAGGGCTCTGGCTGATGGTCCCGCTAATGGGCTTTGGAAAATTGTGTAATCTGGGCCAGGGTTCCCAGGAGGCCTCAGAACAGGTGGGGCAACTGTGGAACCGTAACTTTTTGCTCTTGTGAATTGAATGGAGGGACAAATATTCTAGGATTCAGTAACTGCTGGATTATATCCTGCTTCCTTATGGGCCAAGTGCAGAGGGCATGACCTTCTGGGCCAGCTGAGCCACCTCTGTGTGCAAGTCTCCGCTGGACCATGGGAGAGTCCAGTGGAGGAAGTGACCTGTTGTCTTGTCTCATCAGGGACCCAGCCAAAGGGGGGTGATAAGTGCTCCCGCCAAAGCACCTCATCTGTGCAGAGTGACCTGAATGCTCAGCAGCTGAGGAACTAAGGTTGAGTCATGGAATCTTCCAGGAAATTTACTCTCTCCATTAAAATTTGATGAACAAAACAGACAAGGGCTCTGGTTGCTCCAGAAGTCCCACTCCAGTTCCAATTATTCCCCCCAAAATCCCTCCTCTGTGCTGGACTGGACGGAACATGAACAGAGCAGAGTAAGGGTGACCCTTGGGAGACAGGGTCCCTGGAGCACTGAACCAGGGGCTGGACATTGGGAGGGAATCTAGGAAAGACTGGCCCCAAAGCTTTTGCCCTCAGGTCTGAATGGGGGTCTGTGATTATTATTCCTCAGGGTGCAGCATTGCCCTTCTCCTTCTCATATACTCTGGTGAGAGAGGACAACCTCTGAATGAGCAAGTTTATCAGACATTTTCCTCTAGGGGGAAGTGAGGCCTGTAGGGCACTGAGGAGGCTGGGGTGGGACCAGTGCTAGGGGAGCAGCCTTGGGCCAGGGGGTGCCAAGGTATCTTAAGCAGACACCACATCCAGCTGGCCTGGGATGAACAGCTCTTCTCCTGGTGCTGGAGTCCCCTTCAACCAGTCGTTCCCCACTCTTCCTCCTCCCTCTAACACCCTGCAGGCAGAGGAAGCCAGGCTGCCTGGCTGGTCCAGAGCTAAACTTATTGGGGGTCATGACAAAATGGGCCAGCATCATATAGTGGGAAATAGCCTGATCTTTGAAGCCAGACAGAGCAGGTTCAAATCCTAATTCTTCCCCCAACGCACTGTGTGGTCTAGGACAAATCATTTTATCTTGAGGGACCCCAGCGTTCTTTATCAATGGGGGCAATCATCTCTGCCTTCCAAGGATTAGAAAGACTGTATCTGAATCCCCAGGGAAGCTCCTCACACATAGTAGGTGCTCAAGAAATACCAGCTCCTCGACTTCTTCTTCAGGTCCTGCCTCCTGGCACTAGGATTCTAGAAGTTATAGCTAAATAGTCAAAAAGAAAGGCTCTGCCCTAGAATGGCTAGGAGGTGGCAAAGGAGGAGCAGGGGCTGAGGTGGGGGTGGCCAGTGCCCCTAGTCAGGACTGAAAAGGCTTCATGCCTAAAAGGATGGGACAAGATAAGGACCCGTGTTGAGAAGGGCTGTGAGAGATAGCCTTGGTACACCCTCCCAGGTGGGCCTGGGTTGCAGTGAGCTAGCTCAGACCCTGTTCCCATACCTGCCTGTCCTCAAGGGCAGTTTGCATGGGCCGAGAAAGCCTGGGTGCCACTCACAGTAGCCCAGTGCCCACTGGAACAGGAAAGCCTGTTCCCATAGCACTGACTCAGCCTTCACTGGTGATCTAGTCCCTGGCCCTCTGCAGGCCCGGCCACCCTGTATCACCATCAGCCAAGCCCTCCACCAGAGGGAGGCAGGAACCATGTGTCTCTTAGGAACAGTGTGGGGGTGCCAGGACCTTCCTAGTCTCCCCTTACCTTCACAGCCCACACTCATGGCAACATCTGCCCATGTGGTCCAGTGAGATTTCTAGAAGGTTGATGGTTCTCAGAGCCCCCCAGACTCCAGGCCTCTGTGGAAGGTGCAAGCCTGCCCATGGCCTGTTCCCTGTTCTCGGGCACTCAGTTTCCCCACATCGTTGTTCCTGTCCTGAGAAACTAGCCTTAAGTGTGTGTGCATGGGGGAGTGTCGGGGCCTGGGGTCAAGTGTCAGCTCTACATAGACTTATCCTGTGACTTTGGGGCATGTCTCTGAGTAGCCATCTCCCTTCCATTGAGTGAGGACACCCATGCCTGCTGTGCGCCCAAGAGTGGGGGAGGCCATAGGTGGGAAGGGGTCTTGTGAGCTCGAGAGGCCTGGCCAGGGCCTTTTTCAGCCCACACTGGCCTCAGGCCTACCAGGGGAAGAGGCAGAAAGGCAGGAGCAGACAGAGGGGTCCTTCCATGGCTCCCTGTCACCCTCTGGCAGAGGCAAGCTCACTCTGACCTCTGTTCTCTTCCATCCTGGGCACACCCCTTGGGAATGTGATGAAAACCACAAACCCCTCCACAGAAAAATGCACATCCTCACTGAATGTGGCTTGTGGTTTCAGAGCAGAGGAGCCCTTTGGCCCAAAAGGGCTCAAGGGACTAAATTACTTTTCCCCTCTTAGCTACTGCACGTTGTCCTTCACATCCTTCATCAGCATCCCCAGTGCCTGGCGCTAACCTCACTCTGACCGGTGAGTCTGTGCTCTCAGTAGGACTGAGTTCCCGGTCAGAGCCTGTGGGCCCCAGTACCCAGCCCAGGCATGGGTGGGGTCAGAAATGTGAGAGGGTCACAGAGGGAAGAATGGCTGGGCAGTCCCTGGTGCTCCCTGGGCTCTGCTCTGATGGGCGCAGAGGGAACTAAAGGGGCTGTCATACTTCCATCCTGCTTCCCCCTCATTCACATTCCAGAATCAAAAATGGCCCCTATTAGGGGTGTCCCTCAGATGCAGTTCTGGGGTGGGGCTGTGTCCACCCTTTGAGGCCAGGGATCCTGAGAAGGGCAGGCAGTGGCTCTCCTTCAGACTAGGTCCCTAGGGGTGGACCCAATCTCTTAGACTTGGAGATCTCTTCTGGGAACACAGTGCCAAATGACGAAAAACTACAAGGAGCTTGGACAACCTGTATTATCCTTTATTTTCTTAACATATAGTGAAATTCCAACTCCAAAGAGACATATATGCAGAGCAGACAGAGGCAGGGTCCTGGTACGCAGCAGCCAGAACTGGGCAGTGGGCGGGTCTGCTCCCTTCTCCCCTCCAGCACAAGCCTCACGCCTCCTGGCCCCTGGCCATTGCCCAGGCAGAAACCAAGAAGCTGGGAATGACAGGAGCCATTCTCACAGTCCAGGGAGTAGCCAGAGGCTGGCCTCGGCTGCTAGGCCTGGCCAAATCATAATCTAGCCGTGGGACCTTGAACCTTAGTTTCCTTGTCTGTTAAATGGGCTAGAAGTCCTTGCTAAGAAATGGAGAAGAGAGTGTGTGGATACCGTGATGCATCAGTGACCATTAGGGCCTCCTGGTCGTCCCACTGCTTCTAGATACCTATGTTGTGTCTCTCAGTTTTTGTTACTGTCGTGGCTACAGGCACATAGGGGCACCTGCTCCGGCCCTGGTGGAGTTGAGTGGACTGTGTGTATAGCTGCCCCCAAAGCAGACTCTGGACTCTGAACTGTCCTTGGGCTGCAGTGGTAGCCACTTCACCAGGTCAAGGCCGCCTCTCCCCTCCAGGTAAAGGAGAAAGAGAAGGCTGTGGCCCAGGGTCACACAGGGAGCCTGTGCAGATCACCCAGCTGCTGAAATACCTCCAACCAGGAGCTCAGGAATAAGGGGGGAGTCTGCTCCTCCCCACCCCTCCCAGGACCAGCCAGGGGCTTGGAAGCCCCCCTAAGGGTCCAACAAGGGCATCTGCCTCCGTGAGCTGATCCACATCATGGTCATCTGTCCTCAGGCTTGGGGCTTCAGATAACCAGCTGCCCTTTAATAAACACACCTGCATAATGGTGACCTGTGTCTACACTGGAGGAAGTGAAGAACCGAATAAAGAGCAAGATGATGCGACAACGGGTGGAAAATACCAGCTAGACTCAGTGAAGGGACGTGAGTATTCATCCTTCACCCTCCGAGGAGCCTTCCTTCTGCAACAGCAGACCCTGTCCGGGAAGCCCCTGCACAGGAATGAGCCCTGCTTGCCCAGGAACGGGAACTTCCGATGTTCTGTGCTATGTGTTGCTCTCTGCTTTGAACATGGATGCATATGTACACGTGTTCACATGGACGCTAGGTACAGCTATAAACTCGGGGAGAGAACCAGGGCAAATGGGAGAAGAAGCGCCAGTCCAGACTACATCTTGCCGAACCCGCGGTGTGTCTACACTTACAGAATCCTACAGAGGGGCCTCAGGCCCAGATAACTCTCCGTGTGCCTGCCACTTTACAGATGGAGTCACTGAGGCCCCGAGATGAGGATGATCCCAAGGTCATGCAGCAAGTCCAGTTGGGGGGCGGGGGGAGGACGGGGCTGGAAGCAAGCTGCACTGCAAGGACGAAGCTTTTCTGCCACTTGCACCCACCACTGCCCCTCGTGCGGGCTCTTCCCCTCAAAGCACCCTAAGGAGCAAAGTGCATGTTCTGAGAAGGAGGGCCACTCCCAAAGGCACAAAGCAATAACAGTGGAGCCCCAGGCACCGGCGGCAGGTGAGTTGGTGAGCAACTTGGAGATGAGGGGGATTTTCGGGCACACCTCCAGTCACACTCTGAGGGGACAACTTAGCAGGGCAGGTCCCTCTCTTTCACCTCCTCCGTGACTTCAAGGGAGTGAGTAATTGGTAAATCTGGGTCCCCAGGAAGCCCCGAGGCCAGGAAACAGAGAAAGAGAAAGAAAGTGATAGAAACAGCCCCAAATCAGGCTTGACCACGCAGTTCCTGCGGGTCTTTGGGAAGTGACATTGGCCAGCTTGTCAGAGTGTCTACAATATGGATTTCAGCCCTCCCCTCCCTCCGCCCGCCCCTGGCCCCGCTCCCCACGTGGGTGCCTGGGCCAGGTCGCCTCTATTTGGGCTTCATCTCCACCCTGGCGTGGATGTCGTCGCCATCCAGGTCGTACTCCTCCACCTGGCCGCTGGTCCACACCTTCACGCGGTCTGCGAGGTCGCTGCTGCGTGGGGCCAGGATGAAGTCATAGATGAGCACTGCCAGGGCTCCCCCGATGAATGGCCCCACCCAGAAAATCTAGGAACAGAGCAGGCGTGCTCAGGGGGTGTCTCATGGGGCCTTCCAGACTGCGCTGAAGGCCCCCTCTTCTGGCATGCTCTCCCCGAGTTCCCCACCCCTCACCCCATTGGATGGGTTCTCTTGCCCCTGTGCCTGGGACAGGGGCAGGCAGTGCTGAACCCCAACATCCTGATTCCAGTGCCCCCAGAACTGGCCCAAGCCACGAGTGAGGTAGTGGGCATCTCCCTGCCACTGTGTGGTCCAGCTCAGGGTGCCTAGTGTGGTCAGAACAGCCCCTTCCTGAGGGTGGCCACTGCCCCACCCTCCCCAGCTTTGGAGGGGCCACAGGAAAGTCTAGTCTGATAAAAGGTTGGCCTGGAATGGAAACCTCAACAGCAAGAACAGCTCAGTCCACTGAGCTCTTCCTCCATCCTGAGCTCAGCTTACAGGTGGTGAGGTCGTTCATGCTCCCGGCCATCCCGGGGGGCAGGTAGGTCCTTCCACACCCCACTTCACAGGCCGGGAAATGCAGGCAATGAGACGGCCAGCAGCCCACCCAAGGTCACGCTGAATGGGAAAGTGGCGGAGCCAGGATTCGGGCCTGGCTCTCGAACACACTGCTGGGAGGACGTGGGGCAGGTCTGAGCTGGGCAGGCAGAGGCCTGGCGTACACTGCCTGAGGTGTGGCCCCATCCGCCCCTCATCTCAGGCCTTGGTTCTCCCTCTGCCCTGGCTGTCTCCCAGAACCTCCATGATGAGAAAGGATGCTGCGAGGTGGGGTGGGGCCTACCATGGGCACCAAAGCCTCCCCCCTTCCTCCACGGGGAGCCTGCCACCCCTTACCCAGTGATCCTTGAAGTTGTGGGTGATCACCGAGGAGCCAAAGGACCGGGCAGGGTTAATACCGCAGCCGGTGTAGTCGATCTGTGAGAGAGAAGGGGCACGCGGGCGGAGGGGGGACAGAAAGGGAGAAAGTGACCCAGAGAGAAAAAACAAGGAGGTGACGATCAGACCCAGAAAGAGAGGGGCACACTGACCCAGAAAGATGGTCAGGAGGTCCCTGTGCTTCCCTCTCCTGGGTAAGACCCAGCCCCCCAGCCCCAAAGAGCTGATCCCCTCACCCCATGGCGTGAGCCCTGTCGGGGGTTCCATCCGCTGCCCCTGACAGGGCACTCCGACAGCCCCTGCCTGGCCCTGCCCACCCCACCCCTACCTGGGAAGACTCCCCACTCACCGCCAGCAGGTGTCCCAGGGCCACAGAGAAGCCGATAGCAAGAGGGGCTGAGCCCCCGAGGTCACGGCGTCTCCGGTCAGTGGTGGCCAGCACACACAGCACCAGCTGCAGGGTGCCGATGATCTCGATGCCCAGGCCTTGGCCCGAGTTCACGCCAGAGGCCAGCTGTAGGGGAGAGGGATGGCAAGCCTCGGTGGGGACTGTGTCCCAGGCCCCCCAGGCCCAGGCACCAAGGGCCAGACCTTCAGTGCCCTGAGAGCCCATCGCATCAGCCCCTGGCTGAGCCTGGAGGGGCCTAGGCCCTGCCCAAGCACACACAGCTGATAGTGGGCGTCAGGCCTTGTCCTCTCCCATATCTGTTGAGGAAGCACCAGCTTGGCCCCTGGTACCTGCCTAGACCCTGCAGGCTCTGCCTAGAGGCCAGAGAGGCCTGGAGTGAGGTGGGTCATCTGCATCCAGCTACACTGAGGCCAGGGTACCCTGGGGGTACTAAGGCCACAGGCAAGGGGTGAGCCCCAGGCATGGGAGGTGATGGTCAGGGACACTCATAGGAGAAGAGAAGCAAAGGGGTGGCAGGGCCCATCTGGAGACATTACTTCATGCCCCCAAAGTCCAGAACATTCCACCCCATCCTCTGCCTCATCCCAAACTCCCAAAGCTGGGAAGGGTCTTGCTCCGTGAGCTGGCCTGGCTCCCTTTGTGCCTCTCTCCTTTGTGCCTTCTCCCTTGCTGCCCCCACCCTCTGTCTCCTTCCCCACCTCTGTCTGTCTCTCCCCTGGTCCAGTGTCTCTCTCCTACTTCTTTCTGGCCCTGCCCTCCCTGTCTGCTCCCTCCCTCTTCCTCCTGGCCCGGCCCCCCTCCCTCTCTCTGGCCACATCGGCTCCGCCACCAGCATCTGGCTGCCACTTGCTCCTGGGCCACTTTTAGAAACATGACTCATGGAAAAAGAAGGGAATGGGACCTGCCATGAGGTCATCGAAGCCGTCCCCCTGCAGCTTCACCAGAAAGACCCCTCCCCAGGGAGTCCCTGCACCCCCCCCCCCGACGTGGGGGTCCCAGGGGCCAGGTCCTACACGGGGGAGCTGGGCCACATTGGCAAAGGCCCACTCTCAAAGGTGCCCGGATGTGGCCACGTGGGCTGCCTTCTCCCAGGCAGGGCTAGTGTGTCCAAATAAGCCTGCACTTGAAGTCTCATCCTGAGGGTAGGGGGTGTCCCCAAGGCCGTAGGGCATTTTGCAAAATCCTAGAAAAATGGGCACTCCACTCTCCAGAGGTTTTCTCAGCCCCACCCTGAGGCCATCTTACAAGAACAATTCTCTTCCCGCCTTTGTCTGCAGCCCTGGGTCAGAGGGAAAGTGACTCACATCCCCTCCCCTGCTTTGCAACCCCAGTTCTGGGCCTTTCCTGGCCCACCCCAGAGCTTTGGCCCCTCAGCTCAGCCAGCCCTCTGGGCAATGCCCAGTTTCTTCCCACCCCGAGGTGGGGCGGTGGATGCAGGAGCCCTGTGTTCAGGTCCCGACTCTCCTACTTGCTGACCCGATGAGCATGCCCTTTCCCCTCTCTGGTCCTCAGTTTCCCCATCTGTAAAATGGATCTAATTTTCCCTGCCCACTCTCCAGACCGGTTCAAAGGCGGTGGGGGCTGTCTGGGGGCATTTGGAAAGGGCTGCAGAGGCAGGAGCGACCAGAACAGTTGCGGTTTTTTTCTGATTCTTCCAGGTCTTATCCCCAGGATTGGGGGACAGGCAGAAGGGGAAGGGGCCTGCAGCACAGGGGTGTGGAGAAGGGAGTGAGGCCTGCCGGGAGTCGGGAGAAGCTCCACTGAGGCGAGGCTCGTACCGAGGCCCATCACACAGACACCTGCCACTCATCTCTGTGTCTGAGCTCTCAGGGAGCTCAGGGTTCCTCCTCCTCTTCTCTCCTCTGCTCTCCAGGGTCGGCCTAATTGCTAGCTGGCAAGAGTTCTAAAACCAGCCGTTCCAGGCTGATTAATGGAGCAATCGCTCTAAGTGGCTCCTGCCTCAACCTCCCGCATCCCCACCCCGCCACTCACAGACGTGGCCTGGGTGAGCTCATCTCCTTCCCTGGTTCTTAATCAGGTCTGAGCATCCCAGCCTCTGCTTTGCCCCAAGGCACCACTTTTTATGCAAGTGAGCAGAGCACAGGGCCCAGTGTCATACCCACAGCTCCAAGTCCACGGGAAGGGGTCACCTGCCCTGGGAACTTCGGGATATACGCCTTCCTGGCAGTCCAGAGCCCTTAGAACCTGACTGCCCAGAAACACATGGGTTAGTAAACCTCTCCCATTCCCGCCACCACCACCGTCAGGAAGCCTCCCCTGATTGCTTCAGTATCTACTGACCACCTCTCCTTCAACTGCCAATGCACTTGCATTACTTACACCTAGAAAAACTTGATAATTCAGAATTGGAAGGAGTAGTTAAACGTCTGTTGAAACGTGATGTCCAGGAAAGAGCAGGTAAAAATTCAATACATATGTTACTATTTACAACCTATTAAAGTTGAAACAATTGCTTCAATAGGGCCAATCCCAGTTGTGGTCACTTGTTATTGGAAAAAAAAATCAATGTTTGCACGTCCCCAGGTAGTTTTGACTGGCTCAGGTCTTATATTTTACTGATTAAGTAATAAAAAAACAAAAAGTAACAGTTTTGTGAATGCAAGTATAAACAACAGAACAATCCACACAGTTAATCTGAAGCATCAGAAAGATACAAATTCTCCATTCATGAACCAAGCCCATTGATACCGACTCTCAAGGCCCATTTCAGACCCACCAACTCCAAGAAGCCTTCCCAGGCCCCTGGCTGGAATTAACTTCTGCCGTCGCCCCGTCTGCCCTCGCTGAACTGCCTGCAGCTGCTGTAGAGAAGCAGTCCTCCCGCCTCCTGTGTGGGTGCTCGTCCCGCCTGGCCTGGGCGCTCAGGGAAGACACGTCACGGAGATCTTCCCATCTCCCTCCCCAGACCTTGGAGTGGACATTTGCTGTATGGCGACAGAAGTGGCAGGGGATGCTAATTTTCTAAGACTTCCACCCTCTCTGGAGGCCACCTGGCTCCAGGGAAGCTCTCTGGACCCAGGGCTGGCTTATCTGCTTTCTAGCAGGGAGACCCCAGGCCAGTCACTAGTCTCCCTGGGCCTTAAAGGGCAGCCCATGCAAGGGCTCTGTGAGATGATGAATGAGGAGGCCAAGGCCCAGGGAGCACAGAGCAAAGAGAGGACCCTTGCCTGGGGTCTGTGCCTCCCACACTCCCAGGCCAAGGCGCTGGCTACCTACCCAGGGACCTGGCTATTCCCACCTTGGACTGGGGAGCTGGCAGAAGATGGCCCTGTAGCTGCCAGTGTGTCCTGGGCTCCAGGGTGGTGGAAGGCTGACCTCTCCAGGAAAAGGGCCTCAAACCCTCCCCATTGCCTATGGGCAGGCTGAGCAAGGTAGCTTCCAGGGCCCAGGGCCCCAGCTTGGCCTGGGCACCCTGGTGTCCCACTCTTGGGAATAGCAGGCTCCAGAGCCACACCTGGCTGCAGCTCTGAGATCTGCTTTTTTTTTTTTTTTTTTTGAGGAAGATTAGCCCTGAGCTAACTACTGCCAATCTTCCTCTTTTTGCCGAGGAAGACTGGCCCTGAGCTAACATCCATGCCCATCTTCCTCCACTTTTTTTTTATATGTGGGATGCCCACCACAGCATGGCTTTTGCCAAGTGGTGTCATGTCCACACCTGGGATCCAAACTGGCGAACCCCGGGCCACTGAGAAGTGGAACATGCGAACCTAACCACTGCACCACCGGGCCAGCCCCTGAGATCTGCTCTTGAAGAACAGGGGATGGGAGACATTGAGGCCTGCCCCACCCACCCACTGGACTCCGCACTCACGGTGGGAGGGCCTCAGTGTCACCCCTCCATGGGTGTTCACATGTGCATGTGCCTCTGTGTCCACAGCTCTGTGCACCTCTGTGTGTCTGTATATATCAGTGTCTGCCTATCTGTGGGTGACCACGTATGACTCTCTCCTTTTCTTTTTTTGTTAGGTATTAAAAGATTTATTACATAATAAGTAAATGAAAAGTCTATCAAAGAGCTGTAAAAATTCTCAATCTATATGTGCCAAACAATATAGCCTAAAAATAAATGATACAAAAATTGACAGAAATATAAGGAGCATCTGATCAACCCACTATCAGAGTGAAAGCATTTAAGGACCTTTTCTTAGGAACTGATGGAATGAGGCAGTCAAATATATAAATAACATGAGCAGGGAGGATTGGAACTGTATAATTAATGACTTTGATGTAAGGAAAATATGTAAAACCCTGCACCTCCAAATTAGAGAATATACATTCTTTTCCAGGCCTGGTGGGACATTCAGACAAATGGGTCGTGTGTTGGCCAAATGTATCTCCACTGTCTCTGAGAATCCCTGTGACACAGGGTGTGTCTCTTACCAAGGTGGGCTCTGTGTACTGGGGGTCTCTGTGTGGCATGTGGCCCTGGATGGCCATACTGTGTATCTGAGGGCATTTCTGAGTGTGTCACCATGCCCTGTGTGTCACACATCCACACACAGGTCCCAGCCACTACTGACTAGGGAGGGGGGAAGAGAAGAGAAGGAGGGCCCCTTGAGCAAGAGAGAGAAAAGAGCAGGTCTCAAAGCCTGTTTAGTTGCTCTCAGAAGCCATTTCATCTCCCAGACAAGAAACAATACATAAAGCAATGAGTTCCTCCTTCCCCCACTCCTTCCTTTCCTTACTCCAGGGCAGACCCCACCCTCCTGCCAGGGGAAAGAAGGAGGCTTTACTGAGGAGCCCCCACCCCACTCTTCTGGAGTCCCAGGGCCTGAGTGGGACCAGCCAGACTTGAGAATGTGCTCCACGCCCACGTGTGTGTGCCCCCATGTACCATGTCCAGTGTGTGTGTGAGTGTGTGTGCATGTGTGTGTTAGTACAGCATGGCCGTGTGCACGCTGGAGCAACAGGAATAATGAAAAGCTGGGAGGCAGGAGGCTGGGGGCATGGTCCTGCCCTGCCATGATCCTCTATGCAACCTGGACAAGGCTCCACACACCTGTGGGCCTCAGTTTCCTCATTAGTAAAATGGCGGCCTTGGCCCAGATTCTAATCCCAGACCATCTCTAGAATTCCTCCCTTCCTGACTTGGGACCCCTGCCTCCAAGACCCACAGACATCCCCCCGGCTAAGGTCCAGAAACCCAAGTACAGGATTCCTTTCCACGAGGCCATCTGAACTGCTGGTCTCAACATGGCCCGAAGCCTGTGACGGGACCTCCCTGTACGCACCCTGCTGTACCCCCGCACAGCCAGACGCCCCCAGAGCAGCCCGGCTGCAGATAGATTCTGCTTACACACCCCTAATGACAGGGAGCTCACTGACTTGAAGGCAGCCCCTTCCCAATTAAAAAAAAAAAAACTCCTGCCTTACGTGGAGCAGACATCCGTCTCTCCAGTGGTCCTGACAGTGGGATTTCAGGCACTGAGAGGAACTGATGATGGGAGTGGGCCCTTTCCTGCCTCTTCTCCCACCTTTGGAGTCGGGGTTTTTAGTCTTCAAGTATGTGCACCCCACTGGACTGTGGATTCCTAGTTGCATGAAGACAGCCCCTCACTTTTCCCCTGGGAAGCACTGTGGGCAAGGAGCCCCTCTGGTCCTGGGGAGACCCCTGGCTGAGGGGACCCTGGCCATGACCACATTTTCCTGCCTACACCTATAGGCCCCAGACCCTTTGGCCCTCTCAAGGCCGTGATCATGACCCCCAGGGAGGCTCTGCCAGCAAGAACAGAGGGCTCCCTGTGCCCCCAGGAGAGATTCCCCATGCCACTCCCCAAGGGGCAAATGGGGGGCATGTTTGGCCTGCCTGGGGAAAGCCCTGGTGGGCTAACGCACCGGGAGCACCTGCCGGGTGGGGCCCTAGAGGAAGTGAGGAGCACTGTCTGGGCCCGAGCTCAGGTTGGGGAGGACTGCATGGAATTGGCCTGTGAGGAGCTAATGGCTCAAGGCGTGAGGGGGGCTGTGGCCCGGGAGACAGGAGCGAGGCGAGTCCCCTCAACTGAGGCACCTCCTTCAGAGCATCGCCCCTTCCACCAAGGGTTTCCCAGGAGGGGTGAGGGCCAGTGTCAGGTGGGCAACCCAGGGCCGCCAGGGCTGATCCAAGGGCTCTAACGGGGGAAGCAGCTCAGACTTTTCCGTGGTGAAGGAAGTCTCCACCGCAAAGGTCTTGCCTCTCTTGGTGCCCTCCCCCTCATCGGGTTCTGGCTGGAAACAGTAATTATACGTCCCAGCTGTGGCACCACCACCCAGCCCCCAGCCCCCTCCCTGGGCAGGCCAGGCTGGGCATGGCCGTCGGAAAACTCTGGCTTCCCCTTCCCCAGCCCACCCCCAGCCCTGGAGGAGGCAGGGGGGCCCTTCAACTGGGGGAGAAATGATGGCAAGGAGTGGGGGGACTCTCACTCTGTGGTTGGGGAAACTGAGGCCCAAGAAACTGAGGAAGGTTATGGCTGAAGTCAGACCCCTGATGCAGCAGGCAGAAGCATCCCACAGGGGATCAGGCCCAGAATCAGCAGGACTGAGAGAAGACCCCCAAAGAGGGGAGTTTGCCCTCTGCCTGAGCCCCCTAAGGGGCTGAAATCACAGGCTATGGGATGGCCAGGAATCCAGCCCCCTCCAGGATGCTGTCAGACACTGACCTGAATCATGAGCCTCACCACCCTCTGGAGCCCCAACCTTCCACTGTGACCCCGAGTCTGGCCACAACCCACGACCCCAGGCCTCAACATCCACTGCCCCTTTGCCTGTGTTCATGTACTTCCTCTGCCTAAAAGCCCCCTCCCTGGTGGGGTCTCCACATTCAGGCTCATGTGGCACCTCCTCCCTGAAGCCTTCCTGGTCTTCCCCAACCCTTAAGGTTAGAAGTTCTCTGGCTGCCCTGACATCTTTTATCACACCTGCCTTCTGGCCCCCATCACAGGGCAGCCATGCTTATCTTGCCCGGGCAGCTGTGCACACAGCTTATCTCGCCCAGGATCATGGGCTTCCCCAAGGCAGGGAGCCAACTGCTTCAGCCCCGCAGTCAGCCCGCTGCAGCCTCACAGTCTCGCAGTCCTGGGTCGTGTCTGCGGGGAGCGTGGGGAGGGAGCCACCAAGGGGAAGAGTAAAAAGAGTGGGCAAATGGTCAGGACTCCGAGGTTCACAAGCAAGCGAGCATCCTCCACTCCACGGAGCTCAGCCACACCCTGCTGTGTCCCTGTTTCACAGATGGGAACTGGGGATACACAGGGAGCTCAGTTGCGTGAAGTCACACAGGGTATTGGTGGCTGAGCTAGGGCAGGGGAGGCTGCAGCACCAACCCCTGCCTCTGAGCCTCTCACCCTTGGCTGAAATTAGAACCAGCAGGGAATCCTGCAGGCTGGACGGAGGCCCATGGTCTCTCCAGGGCGCATCCTGAGCCCTGACTCAGTGGGAAGAAAGTTGTCCCCACCATGTCCCCGGGGGACACCCCCTGACTCACCCCAACCACTTCCTGCCACTTCTTTCCCTATTTTCCTTGAAAATCTCCAAGCCAACAACTGGCTCCACCCAAGTTTGGGTCAGGGTGGGGCCCCAGGCCCTAGGGGCTGCGGAAGCCTCCCGAAGGGCTGGAGGAAAGAGTGTGTCACCTGCTGGGTAGACTGGACTCTGCCCCTCTTGAGGCCCTGAGGCCACCCCCCAGGTCCCTTCAGATCCCAGGTCCAGTGTCTAATAGGCAGCCTTGGGGGGCACACTTTCTTTGTTTCTAGGACCACGATTTGTGCTTCTGGACACCAATCTCCCATCGTGTGGACAGGGAGCGCCTGGGCCCCTACCACAGTGCTTGCAGCCCTCATGCTCAGCGTGGCCCGCCTGGGCTCCTCTCAGCCAAACCTCCTGGGAAGAGTCATAAACACCAGTGCATAGAGTGAGCTTGCTGGTGGTACGGGCGTGGCCCAGAGATAGCAGGAGACTGGGGCTCCTCTTAAAGCCTCAGGGTCCTCAGCTCCGAGGAAATTCAACAAGTCAGCAACAGAAAGGACCTGAGCCCAGTGTGCCCACCTCCTGGCCCAGGGCTGGCCCCGCACCAGGCTGCCCCTTTTCCTCCCCCATCTGCAACCTGTTCAGCCCAGGTGTTGGGGTGACTCTGGAAAATGGGGGCCAGGGAGGGGAAGAGACAGTGGAACAAGGCGTGGCCAGATCCAGATGGCACAGCGCTGCCCGCCCGCCCACACCTGCGTGGATGCCTGTGTTAGAGAATGTCAAGTGTGTTAGCAGATGCCCTGCCTGCCTGCTCCCTGAGAAGGAGGGTCAGCTGGTGGCCAGAAGGCCTGGGGACACTCCACTCCTCCCCTGTGAGGACCCTTTCCCTACCCCCATCATGCCCAACAGAGCCCAAATGTGAACCTGACCCTACCCAGTGGGCATTCCCTGAGGTCACCTGACTCTGCCCCCACTGAGAGACTAAGGCCTGGAGGGATGTGGCCTGCTGGAACGCTGTCCCTCACATCCACCATGGCCTCATCTTCCTCGACTAAAGTCTAAACTCCAGCCTGCAGGCTAATCTTCAATCTTAGGCTGGGCAGCAGTTGGCTCCACGAGGGGGCTGGGTGAGATGTCACTGTGACATGAGAAGTGCTAAGCCCCCCGTGTCAAGGCCATGCCAGCTGCCCTCTGCACCAGACCTTACCTCGCCTCCCCAGCTGCAGCACCAGGGTCTGAACTTTGGCTGGGAAGCATGAGGACAGTTGCTGTGATCACCCGCTGCTACCTCTGAGGAGCCCTCAGCCAGCTCCCTTACTGTCCCCACACCCACCTGCCCGCCCGAGGTCCTACCAGCCTCCTTTCTCTAGATCTGATTCCACCTCTCGGCTCCTTTGCCTCTCTCCTTCCCTGCAGGGGACACGCTCAGAGACGTCCTTCAAACCTCACTCAGCCTTTAGGGCCAAATTTCCCCCTGCTGTGGCCCAAGCCAGGTCTAAGTTTGCACTTGGCTGACAGGCTGGAAAGCCCAGGTTTGCGACAGCAGGCGACTACCGCCAATGCCAATTAGCTGTGCTAAACAGCCCTAGAGGAAATCTTTTCAGCAGCTGCCACCCAGTTGCCAACATCTGCTTATCATTAGTGCCCCAATCAAGCCAGGAGCGGTGGGCACATGCAGGTACACCTTCACCTCCACCCACGCTCACACAGCAGCACTAACGTGCTCACAGACACACTTCCAGAAACAGACACACACGGGAGCACAGAGCTTACACAAGCTCAGAGAACTATGCCGGCATCCACGTGTACATTCATACACACGGGCACACGCCACACCTCTCAGTGCCCGGCAACAGAGAGTAGAGCCCAGACAGGAGGTGAGATGTCCTCGCCCTAGCCCCACCCCGCACTGTAATCCAGGAAAACCACCTGCAAACAGCCAGAAAGTGTTCCCCCTCATCTTTGTCTGATTCCTGGGGGACAGAGGAGCGAGAGGGGCTTTTTCCTTGAAGGCAGCTTATTTGGGGACCTGTGTGAATGTGGGGGCTGCCGGAAGGCCTGTGTGGCCCCCCACGGGAGTCCTGCTCACACATTTGCAGACCTGGCCACAGACATGCCAGGCATCTGGCTCACGGTGGCTGGGGAGTGAGGGCAGAGTTTCCCCAGGGTCCAGGCTGCAGGAGGAGGGAGGCGGCTGCACAGGCAGGGCTGCCGAGGGCCAAGAAACTACAGCTGAGGGGTGAGGAGCTGCTGGCCCAACCACCAGCTGCCTCCAGAGCTTATTTCCCACAATAGATGCCCACAGGGGATATTGGCAAGACTACTATTCTCTGGGTCTCAGTGCCTGGCAGAAAACAGGCTCTGGGCTGCAGGCGGAGCTGAGTTCCAGCCCCAACTCTGCATGACCTCCAGCAACTTCTGTTCTCTCAGTTCCTCAGTGTCCCCATCTGCATAATGGGCAGAGGATGAGACCTGCGCTGTCTCAGCACCATCCTCGATTCCCCCACGCCTGAGGCCACCCCACTCACCTCGTTGCGGCCGAGTGAGTTGTCGGGCAGGGAGGAGGTGATGCCTGAGAGGATGGCAGTGGCGACGATGGCACCCACACACTGGGCAATGATGTACATGAGGGCCCGGAGGATGCTGATCTGGCAGCTGAGCAGCAGCCCCAGTGTGACGGCCGGGTTGAGGTGGGCGCCACTGATGTGGCCCACGCTCTGGGCCAGTGTGGCGATGCTCAGCCCAAAGGCCAGCGACACCTTCACGTTGTCCTGGGCCGCACCTGCTGTCTGGTTGCTCTTCACCGGGTATTGGAAGCCCAGGGCGGAACCAATGCTGATGAAGACGAAGAGGATCATAGCCAGGAACTCAGCCACCACTGCCCTCCAAAAGAGCTTCGTCTTGAACTCGCTGGCCATGCTGGCAGGGGGCTTGGCTGGAGACTGCTGCCTGGTGCTCAACTCCCTCCGAGAGCTGAGCCACAGCCCGGGCTGGGCCTATTTATAGGGCCCAGGGGGGAGGAGAGGAGGGGGGGCACAAAGGGAGGAAGGCCTCTCCTTGCTCCTGGCCCGCCCCACACCGCACGGGCCTCCTCTCAGCGATGGATGCAGACACAGCTCTGCTGTCGGCCTGCCAACTTTTTTTCCCTTCCTCCTCTCCCCCCTCCCTCCCTCTCTCCCTCCGCCCTCAGCCCTGCCCAGCCCGAGGAGGCAGGCAAGCGACAGCCACTGCTCTAATAGGCTTTGGGAAATTCCTCCAAGTTGGCCCCACTCAGGGGGCCAGAGAAATCCAGGTGTCCCCACCCTGTGTGCAAAGCTCAGAGGGTGCCCGAGGGCAGAGCCGGGCACTCAGGATGGGGCAAGGTGGGCGGGTTGGACTTGGCGGGGTGGACGTTGCCCTCCCTGGGGGCAGGCACCATGACCCTGATGGCCTGGCATCCCCATTCCACCCCAGAGTGGCGTTAGTCTGGAGTCCATGGGCCCAGGGCTCTAAAGGGGCAGTCTGAGCCTCTCACACTCCAGCTCAGGCCTGGCCACTGGATGTCACTTCAGGGATGTCCCCACGCCTCCAGCCCCACCCACCAGGCCTCAGTTGATGGGGACGTGGAGGTAACAGAAGGTGCACAAGCTGTCTGTGGCCCACCCTCCACTCTGTGGTCAAGGGCAGGCCTGAGATAGGCAAGGATCTGGGAAGCCCCCACTCTGGGAGCCCTCAAGTTTCTAGGAAGCACTTTGAACTAGTGATCTGGGGGCAGGTGGGGAAGGTGAGGGCAGTTCAGGACTTTCCTCTCAAAGGCTGTGGCAGATCTCTGGGGAGACTGAAGGAATAGCAGCCTGACCCAGAGACGAGAAGGCCCAGGAGGGAAAGAGGAGAGAAGGAGGGAGCAAGGGAGAAACGGAGAGGCAGACCCGAATGGAGAAGGGAAGAGGAGAGGAGACAGACAGACACACAGACAGACAGACAGAGAATGAAGCAGAGTAATAGGGAAGCGGAACCATCAAAAAAATGGAAGTGAACGAGACAATCCCCAGGCAGAGGCAGGGAGACAGGCTGGGGCTGAGAGAAAGACAGAGAGCACAGATGGAGAGAGACAAACCGGGGAGAGGGGAGACAGGCCTGGACCCAGAGGCCAGAAGGAAAGGGAAAGATTGGGGAGGGGCGGGCAAGTAAAGGGGGAGCGACCAGACAAGCACCCCACCTCTGCAGACTCCTACAGTCCAGCCTGTGACTGTACATCCCCCAGCCAGAGGCCTAATGGCAGCCAACAAGCTGAGCAAGAAACTGGTCTCCTGGGCCAGGAGGCCCATCGGGAGTCTGGGCTCAGTCCCTAGCCTGCTGCACATAGTGTGGGAATGGGAGCAGGCAAGTCCCTAGAGGGTGGGGCCTCAGGGGCCCTTTCCTCCCACATCCCGCCTGCCCCGCCACAGTCCTACACGTGAGTGCTGGCTTCTCCCCATTTTATAGGTGGGAAACTGATGCCCAAGGAGAAGAAGCACTTCTCTGAGTTCTGTGTATGCCAGGGGCTGGGCAGGGGTGAGCACATGACCTTGTGCCTCATGTCCAGGGGCCATCTGCAGAAGATGACGCCAGCCCCACTGGCCACCCTGCTGCCCAGCTGCAGCACACACCAGGGCCACCCTGCCCCGGCGATCAACTGTCCAGGCATCAGCCTAGTGTTTGCGGGGGGCAAGAGGCTCACTGGGGGTGGAGGTGGGGGAGCCGTGTTCCCCTAAGTGTCTGTAAGTACAGGATGGAGTGGCCACAAGGCAGGGAGTCAGCATGTAGCCAACAGGCCCTGCCTGCTCAGAGAGCCCGAGCAGCCGGAGGTAATCGGTGCCTTATTAACCATCCAAGAGAGGGAGCCAGCCCCACTGGGCCACTTCCAGGCACCTCCTCCACATCCTCCACCCTGGGCAGGCCTGGCTCAGCTCTCCGCGCCCCAGGAGGCTTCCTCGCGCTCTGGCTCCTGGCCCCTGGCCCTGTGGACTTGTGGCAACAATGCCCCACAGTGAGGGGTTCTCTGGCCAGTGCCAGGGCCTCCAACCAGAACTCCCTCCCCAGGGCTGGGTTTCCCTCACACCCAGGCCTCAGAGGACAGCCCTTTGTCGCCTCTATCCAGGCAGGACCATTTCCCTTCAGGCCACAGGCTCCATGTCCACTGAGAGACATCCGCACCATCCTCCTTCCCCCTCCATTTCCAGGTCCCGACAGGGCCTGCACCAGTCCTTGCCCTATGCTTGGTGAAGGGCAACTTCTGACACCGGTAGGTACTGGGACCCAGCCCTCGGTCCCTGGGAGGGCTTGCAGAAGGCAGCTGGGAGAGCTGGCATCGGGCCCACAGGGGCCACTGGACGCAAGCTGGTCTAGGGGTGCAACACCACAGGAGAGGGGCCTGCATGGGCCCGTGTGTGCTCCGGGTTCTGAACCCCTGTCTGCGGGTCAGTCAGGATCCAAGCAACTGAGGACACAGGGTATGCTACCAGGTGTGAGGGTGAGAGTCCACTGGGACGTACTAATTTATCTGACAAATGTTTACTTGGCACGTGCCAGACACCCTTCTGGGTGCCAGGAGACAGCTACGAACCCAAGGGCCCACTCCTTGTCCTCGTGAAGCTTGCATTCTAGCACGTGAGGCTGCAGGCCCTGTGTGGGCACTCTGGAGGCCAGAGCATGTGACTGTGGAGGGCATGTGTGTGTGCGTGTGTGTGTGTGTGTGTGCGTATGCACTTGGCAGATGCCCATGTCCTTCAGAGCAGGGCGGGAGATAGGGACCCACGCATCACAGGGTAGGCAAAGCACTTTTGTCCAGGCAAATTAGGCACCTGCCAATCTCAGAATGAGAGGAGGGTCCTCAGGGCAACACCTCCGCCACCCCTGCATCTCCCTGCATCTCCCGCCCCTCCTCCACACCAGCTGGCCTCCACCTCAAATGCCACCATCATAGCTCCATTCCTTTGGAGGAAGGCATTGCCATCACCAGGAGGCGCCATCAGAATGCAAGCATCTCCAGAATAATGCCCACCTCATTCACCCACCATCTCCCATAATGCCAAAGGGCCTCTGTGGCCATGACCTGACCACATGGATGGGAAGGGGGAAAGGTCTGCACTGGAGCTCCAGACCCAGGAAAGCCCCAAACTCTCCACTTCCTAATCTCTGGTCTGCCACAAATCCAGAGCAACCAGTAGAGGAAGGAAGGAAAGAGCAGCTGGCTGAGGGCCCGTCTTCCCCACATCCCTGGGAGGCTGGGATGGTAAGTGATTTGCCAATGAACAGCAGAGCTGGGATTAGAACTCAGGACCCCGGGGCTGGCCCGGTGGCACAGCGGTTAAGTTTGCACGTTCTGCTTCTCGGTGGCCCCGGGTTTGCCGGTTCGGATCCCAGGTGTGGACATGGCACCACTTGGCAAAAGCCATGCTGTGCTAGGTGTCCCACATATAAAGTGGAGGAAGATGGGCATGGATGTTAGCTCAGGGCCAGCCTTCCTTAGCAAAAAGAGGAGGAATGGGAGATGTTAGCTCAGGGCTAATCTTGCTCAGGAAAAAAAAAAAGAACTCAGGACCCCTGATTCCCAGAGCCCAAGTCTGGTTCTTGGCCTGCCCGTCAGGAAGGGCCCCTGATGGACCTGGTGACCAGAGGGACAGTCCAGTTCTGCTGGCTCAGGAGCAAGTACAAAGGCTGCGGATCCAGGCCCCAGAGGTCTAGGATGGGTGAGGAGTGGGCATGGGAGGACCGTCTCAGCTTTCCTGCATAACGGGGAGGAGATGGGGGAGGACGCACCGGGCTAAAAGCTGGGAGGGGCTAGAGTCACCCCTGCGGGCCCACTAGTCTGGGAGTTTGGGCTCTGAGATGGCGCTGCCTCCACCCCGGCTCCTCCTCCAGTGTGGCCTGACTTGGCGGGTCCATGTCCCTCCCATGGACAGTGGCACGGGCTCAGCCTCCAGAGCCCACAGGCCTGAGCCAGGCTAAATAAGGGGAGACTGTCCCCCACCCTGGCTCCTGAGCCCTGGGCGGGGCTTGAGGCCACTCAGGCCTGGTCACCGTCTGGGCCTGCTGGAGCAACAGCCTCGGCAAACGCTTTTCCAGATGTGCCCTGTTCCTGACGTGCCCGGCGAGACCTGAATTCCAGTCAGAGCTGGCTGCTCACAGGACAGTCTGGGCTTTGTCGCCTTCGGGATCCAGCGGGAGAATCTCAGGCTTTGTCCGGAGGTGCGTGCAAAGAACCTCAGGTGTTGGCTAAGGGTCCGGACCTCGGGCTGTGTGGGGAGAAGACGCCCCACGGGTGTGGCCACAGCCCTCACTCTCTTAGCCAGAAGCTTCTGGGGAGCGCAGGGCAGAGGGGCTGAGGGTCACGGACCCTCCCTTCTGGGCCTGGCAGGGACTCCCCCGCCCCCCCTGCAAGCCGGGTTGTGGGGAAACAATGATTTCATTCCCTCCAGGAGGCCCACCAGGGAGGTGGAGCTCGGGGTGGGGAGGGACTCAGACAGCAGGCTGGCCGTGACCATCCAGGCACCATCGGCTCACCAGCAGTTTGGATGAATTTTCCGGAATGGCTCAGGCTTTCCTGAATCAAGGCAGAGAGCAGCACCAAAGGAGAGTGGGAAGACGACAATGTCCCTGAGGGTCCTGGAGAGGGATGGAGAAAATCAGAGACCACCCCTCCTGGAGAATCCCTCTGACCTTGATCTGGGACCTGCCAGCCCTGGTTCTTGGCTGCTCAGACAGGGCCCATCTCCCTGACTCCCCACACTGGGGATTTGGCTCCAGGTGGAGTCATCCTCTCTGAGAGGCATAGCCATTCTCCTCTGAGGGGGAGCACAGGAAGGACCAGGCCCAGAGCACAAAGACCAAAAGGAAATGGGATGTCCCCTCAAACTCCTTGACCTAGTCCTCAAGGCTCTCCACTGGCCACCTTGTGCGGCACTCGCCACTACCCCTTCCCAACCCCAGACAAGGGCCGGGTTCCTGTGCCACCAGGCCCCCTGT